TTAGTTTTTAATCCAAAAGAAATAATTTTTTAATCCTTAGACTGATCAAACACTGGCATTTGAGAAAAAAAAAAAAATTAAAAAACAGCCCAACAAAACAATCTAAATAAATCAAAATAAATCACTAAGCTTATATTCCTTTACTTTCCCATTTCATATTTATGAATCTAAAAATAAAGCTCTTGTTACGCTAGTGAAGTAAATGTAGGCTATTCTCTGGAGGCAGGATGACGATCTTTAGCCATAACCTCCAAAGCTCTCAGACCTCATTACCAAGCCACAGCCTCTCGCCCTACTTCCTTCACAACAGAATGCGATGCCCAGACTGTCAGAGCAGTGTCTGGGCTCCTCAGCATGCAAGGCTAATGCTTACACACCTTTCCTGTAGTGGTTTGACACAACTGAAGCTCGTGTGTTTGCTTGGACTATTTGTTTCACTGTCTTTCTTACACTGTTGTTACAACCCGTTTCTCACTCATTATGAGGTGGAGGGTAGATTTAGATTGGATGCACAAAATTCTTCATGGTTAGAGTGGTAAGACAGTGGCATAGGCTGCCCAAAGAAGCAGATGCTCCACCCTTGGAGCCCAAAGAAGCAGAAGAAGTGGATGCTCCATCCTTGGAGATATTCAAATCTGCATTGGAGCTTTGTCCGGTGAGAGGTGTGTTTGCCCATGGCAAGGCAGTTGCACTAGATGATCTTCACAAGTCCCTTCCAACCCAAGCAATTCTGTGATGAGAGTCAAATTAATGTCCCTCCACAGAGTTAGTCCAGGAGATCACTGGCATCTCATATGTAAAACCCAAGCATGAATTAGTGCTGCATGAATTGCAACAGCTAATTTCTGGGTGCCCTACTAATTAGTCAAATCTATTCCCTCCTCCACAGTGCTCTTATGCTCTCTTTGCATGGATTGTAGAGAATGGGAACCTAGGAAGAGGATTAACAAAAGTAGCCAGCAGCAAGTGCTAAGAACAGAGCAAACCCTTCTCCAAAGCAGATGCACGAATGAATGACATCCCCTTCTCCTTCTCTTCCAAATGCCAGTAGTTAAAGCATGTCTGAAACCCAGATCAAAATTCCTTGTCTTCCTGAGAAGGCCCAATGAGGAGATCAACGACCACTTTACTACTTTTTATTGCATATTACTGTAATCCACTTAAATCTCATAATAAATTTTGCATGGTTCCCACATTGTCTCTGTTCTATCCCTAAGTTCTCTTTCCCCTGTAAGAATCGTTTAAACAACCTCTTCAGTTTGCACAGCTTTCTATGGTGTTTCTTGCCAGCTTCTAGTGGGTTTGGTACCATTCTAATCGTTTTAATCTTTGGTTTTAGGACTAGTGATGCAGCATGCCTGATTTTCACTAATAGTTCCTCTGATCTTTGCCATATCTTTGTGTTTAAGATTAAACAAAATAACCCAGGTAATGTGGACCAATAATGGGACAGTTGGAGTAGAGAATTAATCTTGCTTAGTCCTGGAGGTCTGCAATACCAATGTGGTGTGTTTACAGCTTTGTATTCCTGAGCTTCTCTTGTACTTGGTGGAGATAGAAATGTTTAAAATAAAGGAAAATAAGTACTTATACGGAATGTTTTTATGTTAAGATTTAAAACTTTGTTGTATTTTATAAGTAGCGCTGGAATGCTAAGCTAGTTAGTGTCTGAGTATCTATTGAGACTGGGTCAGAGTCATGTACAGATCACGTTTAAAATGAACAAAACCAACAGGAAGTGTTACGTGCCTTCTGGAAGTTTTTGTCTTCTTGTTGTTCAGTGTCCTGAAAGTCTGAAACCTTTGCAAGGAGATGAATGAGGTTCTATAACTGAGGACAAAGAAATTTCTGTGAGTAGCAGTTTGTGAGGAACTTGTAGAAGAGCTCAGTGCTATGTGAGAGAAGGTGGGCTTTAATTAGGAAGAAAAGACCTCTGTGCTCATGTAGGATGTGTAAGAAGGTATGTGAAGAAAAAATGGACAAAATCAAAAATCGTAGTTCAGTGCCACAAACTAAAATCTTTTGAAACTGGCATCCCTTATGATATTAAATTGAAAAATACAGACTTCCTTTGAGTTGAAGACAACATTCTTTAGGTGTGCTGCAAGACAAAGACTGGATGTTGTGTTGAGGGACATGGTTTAGTGGGAGCTATTGGTAATAGGTGAACGGTTGGACTGGATGATCTTTTAGGTCTTTTCCAACCTTGGTGTTTCTATGATTCTATGATTCTGAAAATGGTCAACAGCAAACTTGTGAGTACTACAGGACACCTAAAATACAGATGAATGTAAACAGTAAAATAATTAAATGGCATTTCAGAGAGCAGAGGAGAAAGGTGAAGAACCCAGCTGTGGATTTACATGCTTGCAGCTGCAGTCTGCTTTCAGAACACCCTGCGAGTCTTGAGCTTTGCCTTTCAAAACATGGCAAATAACAGTTGACAGTTCACTGCATCAGACTTCAAAACTACTGTATGTGGACAAAGGCAAAACAGCTCTTCCATAGATGGTTAGTGTTAGGGATAGGTGTTACCCTGAAAGATGCATGTTATTATAGGTAGAAAAGGTAGAACTGAAAAAAGGTCACACAATGTTGTTTCTTCTTCAAGACATCTGTATTAATTTGTTCAACTAATGTGTAAAACAGTGGTATTTTCCTAAATACCAATCCTGCAAGCCAAGGGTAGGATCTGACTTTCAAAGTGCTCTTTTTACCACTAAATCATTTATAATGACTAATAATTATTCTACTGGTAGAACCCAGCTGATGATTCTGTTGCAGATTTGTGTCACACACAGGAATTCACCTGACATTGCCATTGTGAATATGTCTTCTAACATTAACACAGTAAAACCTGTTTTGACAATAAACGGCCATGTCCTGAAGGCTGGAGGAATAGATCTATTGGGAAACAATTTCAAGAAGGTACTGTTTCCACACATTCACTTTTGAAATCACAATCACACTTTTTTCATTTGTTTGCAAAAAAAAGCTGTTATGCTTATTTAAGAAATTGTTATTGTGTTTAAGCATTTCCCCAGACAATGTCACTGAATCATACGGATTAGACAAAGAATCAGATTCGTTTTTTACAAACCTTAGTCTGGAGATTAAAAAAAAAAAAGAGGAAAGAGATGCAGCTTACATCTTCAAATCATCTGGTGCTTGACTAAATGCTCACTGAAATCACCCCAAAGATTCCTGCTGCCAGTAACAAAACCAGGCATGGGCTCTGTGGTCATCACTTGGAGACAAGTTTTTCATCTTTTGTCTTTTATCCAAATCCATTTAAAGCTATTCTTTAAAAAATCAAAAAGAAAGTCCAGTGAAATACATTTCCACTGTACTACTTAAAAGAAATTAGCCTACTCAAAAATAGGCCATAAAGGAAGAAATTATTTAAGTAATGTACAGCTTCTAAGGGTTGATGCGGTAGCTCGTGTAACTCTGCCATCCTACTAGCACCTACATCCTAATGCTAGTAAAAATACTATCAGTTGTGGCCCCTTTGCCTTTGTCATTTCAGCATAAGACCACTGGAGCAAATTACATGATTTCTTTTGTACAAATGTTATACTGAAGTGAATCCCAAGCTGCTTTGGGGAAGGGGAAGCCCTTCAACATGGATAAAAGTGCACCTCCCAAATTTTCACCAGTTCCTCCAGGAAACCCGCCAACTCTCAAATGCGTTTCAGTGAAGGATTCAATGCCTGGATCGTGATTTGATGGTTACAGCGCTCACACACACGTGTTTCTGTTAGATTCAGGTATTTTGATGCCTCTTTCTGTAAAGCACAGTCCAGTGGTGGGCGGGGCTGGGGTTAACATTCAGATTTGAATCCCTGGATCGGGGTAGGGGGTTGTTCAGCCCCAGGGTCCTGACTCAGAGCATTGCACAGGATGATCTCACTCAGAGCCAGGCCAGTGACTCATGTATTTACTCCTCTTTGAATCCTTTTCCTTTCAAGTCAAACTATTTGCCCATTTCCTGACATCAGCTCATTGCCATTCAGCTATCAGCTGCAAGACGTGCCAAACCGAAAACGTTCATCTTTTCTCTGTCAAGGTCCTTGCCATCTCCACCAGCCGCCTGCAGCCAGCGCCCGCTGTCTTCACCATCAGGGACACAAGCTCCATCTCTGTGCCGCCCTTTTTACCAGACCCGGTCCCCCACCTCACAGCACATCCATACCCACCACCCACCCTCCTCTTTTTCCTCCCGATGAGCGCTGCCTGGCCCTGCGTGCAGCCCTTCGTTTCCCAGACGCCGCGGCTCAGCCCGACCTTCCAACCACCACATCCTTAAGGAGCTTTCCCTCTTCACGGCTGGCTCTGCACGGCCCAGCTCCTTTCCGTGCCCCTAACGTGCTGTAAAAGAGCTTTTCGCCCCTCAGGCAGGAGCCGCGGCCCCAGTCGCACCGCAGCCGGGCGCCGGGCGGGAGGTCACCCGGCTGACCCCTTCCTCTCGCGGCCCTCCCGGCGCGGTTATAGCCGGGCGCTGAGTGAGCGCCGAGCTATGCGGCCGCTGTCTCGCAGCGGGGCCTTGTGGGTAAGGGAGGCCGCCTCCCGCCGCACGGGGCCGGGCCGGGGGCGGGCGCGGCGGCGGTGGGAGCAGCGCGCTGCGGGCGCGGCATGGACTGAGCGCGCCGGGGCGGCCCAGGAGGGAGAAAGGGGAACGGCCGGACGAGGCCCGCGGAGCCTCCGCCGACGGGGATCTCAGCTGACGGAGGAGAGGGAGCCGGAACGCGGCGGCTGCTGCTCCTCTCCCACTTTCCCTCTCCGCCCGCGGGCGCGATGGTCCGGCGGGCGGCGGGCGGCGGGCGGTGAGCCGGGTCCCGCCGAGGGGACGCCCCGAGCGGGCAGGAGAGGCGGGGGCGCGGCGGGAAGCGCTGCCTTTCCCCTTCGCCGCCGCCGGGCGGAACAGCGGCCGCTTCCCAGCGCCCTTCATGCCCGGGCGGCTGCGGTGCGGCCCCACTGCGGAGCGCTGCCCTCGGCTCCCGCCCGCACGCCCAGGCCCGGCCTCGCCGCCGCGTTAGGCCCCGGCCGCGGGGCGACCCCGCTCAGTCTCCTCCTCCTCCTCCTCCCCGGCGGCGAGGGGAGGCGGCCCTCCCCCGGAGGATGAGCCAGCAGCTGCAGGCGGGGAAGATGTCGGCGGCTCCCCTCGCGCCGCAGGCTCCGGACTCGGCGGCGGCGGGGATGCTCGAGGGCCGCCAGAGGAAGCTGGAGTCTATGATCCGCGATCCGCGCTCCCCGGTCAACGTGGAGAGCCTGCTGGTGAGGGGCGGCGGCGGGCGGCGGGCTAACAAAGGCGGCGCGGCCCCTCGGCTCGGCCGGGAGGAAGGAAGGGAAGCGCTCCGCATCCTGCAGGGGAGGGCGAAGGCTCCTTCCCGGGCGGGGGGCGGCCGCTCTTCGCGCCTTCGGCCGGCCGAAACCCCGGGCAGGGAGCGGCCGGGCCGAGGGCACAGTCCTGCCCCCGTCGTGGGGCCCCGCGGGGGAGAACGGGGTTTGTTTGGGACCGGGGGAGAAACGCGTCTCGACGCCCGGTGCGGCTCCGCTCCTCCGGCATCACCTCTGCCCCGCGGCTTCGCGCCTCCCGAACGCGCTGAGCGCGGCCGGGTGATTGCCGGCTTTGTGTGTGCGATGCCCGGAGCTGGAGCCCGCCGGGAAACGGCCTGTGGTGGGAGCGAGGGCTCTGCGTGCTGCAGGGGTAACGCAGGAAGGGGACACGCCTCAGGGAGAAATGTAGCTCGGGGATGGATCCTACGGGGTCACGTTCGTTTTCCATTGGGACAAATTGATTTCGTCTGTCTCTTATTTCACGTAGCATTTTTCTGTGTGTGTGTGTGTATGAAATACAATTTCCTTTACCAAGAAATCCATGCCCTCAGGAAGGAGTGGGAAGGAGTTCTGTTTCCCCGTTTTAAACATCTGAACCGTGGAAAGGTGGTGAGAGGGAATGGTTATTATTATTTAAACTGAACTTCTGGGTCACCAGACCCAATATTTCCACTCTACTGAGAGATTTCCAGTGTGTCCCAGTGAGGAGGAACAGAAAAGGGAGGGCAGATCCCAGCCCTTCCAGGCAGGATTTGCTTAAGACACACACTGAGTCCTTTTCCTTCTTTTTTTTTTTTTCTTCTTTTTTTTTTTTTCTTTTTTTTTCCTTGTAAATGACTCAGTTCTGTTTGGCCAAGAATACAGGAACTGTCTGAACTGTATAGATGTCTGTGCTGTGTGAAGAGTATAGGAATTTCCTATAGAATCTGAAAAATGCTCTTCTCAAGGCTTTAGTGCTGTGCTATTTCTCTCGTAGACGTTCAGAGGCATAATGAGGCCCACAAACCGTAGCACTCAATGAAGGGGAGTGGGAAGCAGTGCTACCTATCTAATTGGAGTCAGATAAGTTTCAGCTTAGGCCAAAGCAAAGAGCTGCCTCTGGGCTTTGCTCCCAGCGTTTTCACTTTGGTATTTTGCTAGGAAAACTTTGACCTGTTGCCAAAAAAGAGCAGTTAAAAATAGTACAGTCTCTCTGAAAAATGCATCAGGTTAATTACTTAACCCCAGCAGACTTCTTCACACTCTGCTTTTATATTCAACAGAGCGTTTCTTTCATTCTCTTACCTCCCCTGCTGTAGATCAGACACACGAAAAGCTGCTAATGTTTCTGAAGAGAGATTCTAATTGTGAAATTGAGACTGGGCTGCTTAGCACTTTTTTTTTAAGGTTTTGTAGGCTTATAGTGTAGACCAGTTCATGTAATACACTGGAGAAATCAGTAATCCATAGAAGAGCACTAACTGGATTGTACATATGCAATTTTTGTTGCAGTTAATCACTTTTTTTCCCTGCATTTCCCTCTGCGAGTATGGCTTAAATAATTAACTGTGGGGAAGATGTAACATTAGTGAATCGAGTTTTGTTGTTTTCTGTTTTTCATGCCTGTGTATGACATAAGGAATTACTTCAGCTTTTTTTTTTTTTAAATGATTTATGAAATTTGTAGTGGGTTTCCTGTAAAAGCCTCTGAGGCTTTGGTATTGTTGCTTTATGCTGTGTGACGTTAATTTTGTATGGGCATTTAGTTAGGCTGACTATTGCAATCCTAGTATAAAAACATCATTTGAATTGCAACACTTACTTGTTTGGTAAACAGCTCGCTTCTCACTTTCAGTGTAAATTATCGTAAGAGGAAATGTGTTTTCATTTAAAAGTGGAAATACAGCTACAGAAACCAAGAGCCAGGGAAAAGGTCTCAAAAAGACTGGCTGGAACGCTACTGTTTCATTCTCCAAAAATAACATAGCCAAAACTAAAAATGTGGAATGGAATTCAAAATGGAATTCATTTCCTTACACTGTAGAAAGTCATCAACAGCTGCTATTCTGTGTTTTGTGTGCGTGTTTTATTTTTGGGAAGCTGTAGGAAGCAGAGAAATAGCTGTTAAATTACCACACGTGAAGCAAATTTGAGGGAAGTGACAAAGGGGGAGGGGGTAATAAGCTGTCCTTCCCTAGATATCAGCTTTACTGCCTATCCAGAGCTGATGTGTGTGGTGGCTGTGGGGGAGGACGTGCACCTTCCTCACCGCATCTGTTTCTTAACAGGAGGAACTCTGAGGCCAAATACAGCAATCATTTCCCTTCAGCCCCGTGAGGCTCAGTTAGACATTTGTGCATGCCCATTGCTATATTGTATGCCTCAGCACTTCCTATTTCTGCCTTTATGAACATAACCATTTATTTGATTAAAATATATCTTTGGAAGAGTCACGTGGCCTCAATTCAGAGGCATTAAGAGGTGGATACTCTTGGCTGGGTTTGTTCAGGTAGTTAAGTGTGAAGGTAGAATTTATCAAATATGCACATTGAAATGCACTGCTTGCTTGTCGCAGTCTTTTTTACTGTGAAATGTAAAAGTAGCCATAGAGAACTTAATACTTGTTAGCATGGCTCGTATGCAAAGTCTGAGCTGCACTTGATGGGTTTTTCCTGGTTTTGGTCTGATGAGGGGTTGCAAATGAAAACGGCAGCATGAGAGCTGCGTACACCTTTCTATGCAGACTCAAGCAAAGGCAGCCGCAGAGGACAGTGTTTTCTGCAGCCTAGTTTTGACATCTGAACATTCTTCTTCTCATTATAACTTAATGAAAGCCTGAGTTCGGTGGCCTATGCTGAGATAGATGACTTCTTATATTGCACCTGTCAGCAGTACAGTCTTGCTCTTTCTGCTCTTGTAACATTGTGTCAGTCACTACTAAAACATGCTAGAATTAGGTTGAGCAGATCAGTTTTCAGAAATACTGTATTCTAATTTACTCCTCTGTCAGTTTGTGTCATCTGTTCATGTCACAAAGTGACATTTTTTGCCTGCTGCATCTACAACTTGGTGGTTGGGCTAAATGGTATGTGACTTCGTGTGATCCATAAGAAACTCTTGTATAAATACATTCCTGCTGAATAATTCAGAGTTGACAGCTATGTTTAAGAAGAGCTTAGCAGCTCTCAAGTACATGTCCTGCTTTATTCTTTTGCATATATATGCTATCTGCACTATTAACTGAGTTGATTTATGTAGTATCAAATGCATGTTTTATAAGGGTGCGGTTGGAAGCATTAGCTCAACTTTTACAGTGTTCTAAACCACGAGTAGACAGGTCAGTATAGGCCATGCAGAACTCATCCAGATTTCCCATTCCTTGCCTTGTATAACCATGCGGGTCCTGCACACATTGAACTCAGCTCTAGAATTTTTAGGGTGGTGCCAAACTGCTCTGATGAATCTCATTGTCCTCCTCCCTGCAGCTGGCTTTGTGCAGATGGAAGGCTTTTGGTTAGAGAAGGAAACATACAAGCCCCAGTGTTTCAGCTTTAGGCTTCTGCCTTGATGTTTCGCAGCAGAGGTAAAGTGTTGAGTATCTCTGCTGCAGCTGAGGAGGTGTGAGCCTCTGGGAGAAGCAATTCTTAGGCTGCAAAGCAGGCAGTGCAGCGTTGCAGTGAGCACAGTGCTGGGCTGCACGTGTGGTTGTGGAATGCTGAGATGTGGGGGGACCATCAGCAATAGTGTGCTCAAGCGACATGGAGTGTATGTGCCTTGAAACTGGGAGGAAAAAATAGAGGCTGTTTGTTACTCAGCTGGTGGGTAAACTGTGTATTTAGGCTAGTTTGGACATGAATTTCTATTCATGATCAGTAAAATTTATCCTTGCCATTACAACTGTTGAATTTTGCTCCTAATGAAAAATGCATTGCGGATGCAGCTGTGACTCCTGTTCTCTCTACAGATCCTCTGTAGAATCTCATCACCTGGATAGATACCAAGTGTGAACTTAGCAGATCACTCAGCTGAGCTCCCTTTATGCAGAGTCATCTGGAGTTGGTGGCTGACACTCATTTGCAGTGTTTGAGCCTTATGAGCCTTCAGAGTGTTTTAGAGCTAATGTGAAAGTTGTCTCACTTTCTTAAGTTTATTGCCATGTGATTTTGAATGAGCAAGAACAATCTGCTGTGTTACTTTGAATCATCGAGCACAAGAAAGAGCTGAAAACATAGCAGGGTCTGGTCTGAAATGTATTGCCTAGAAACTGATGGAGAGACCAAATGATCCTTTGTTCTTGAAGAAATCTTTGCTTTCTTGTTTAGTTCTTATCCTTTTACTTCTTTCTTAGCTTTTGGCTCTTAATGGAAATGTTCTATTTCTAATCTGTAATTTCAGAACATCAACTGTAAAATTAAAAACATGAGCTTTAAAATTGCCTTTTGTTAATTGTCCCTGTGTGATAGATTTATATTTAGCAATATAGTTAACTGGAGAAAGACAGTTCTATTTTCTGACACATCTAGGTGTTCTTATATCCTGTGTTATTCACGCCAGAATTAAAGCTTTTCACTTAATTTAAGAAACAGGAAAAAAAAATGGCTTTGCTCAGCTTCAGGGCTTTTAATGCCATACATAGGGTGCATAGATCCAGTGTGCATGAACTAAGAGCATTTGTGCTCCAGATATTTTACCTGTATTGATTGGATACACAGTCATTAGTATCCTTCAGATATTCAATTAGCACAGTTCTTTTCTGCCTTACAGGTGATTAAAAAAAAAAAAAAAAAAACCAAATTACTTTTCCCAGTAATGGTAGCCTCAGTGTCCATTGGGGATTGTGTGCCAATGCTGATTAAAAACTGTTTTGTTAAGTACAATTTCAGGTTTCAGCTAATGGCAAAGCGATACCAAAGCATTTATTTGTTTGGCAGCTTTTGATATGGATTGCATTACTAGAT